TCAGCACAGAGAAGAGCATCCACTGTTTGGCAGCACATTCTGACCACCATGATGGGGCCTGGGCGTTCATCTCTCTCTGAACCAGAAAACGTCCCAGAGGCTGGAAGGTCCTCATTGTGGCCAACCCAGCTTGTCTTGTCTTCACCATCTAGGACAAGGACGGCACGCAGCTTTCTACTGCAGATTTCTCAATTCTGGCTGACCGGCGGTGCCTTCTTGGTGTACTGTGTTAAGAAGGATTCTGAGGTCCACTGTTAGGAGAGTACGCAGGGATCAACCAGCGATGCCATGAACACGGAACTGGGGAGTCGCGATGGTGGTCCCTTCTGTGTCCTAGCATTCCTCAAAGAGAAGCTCCAGAAACCTCAAGTGTGGTTCTCCCGTTCCTGGGGCCGCTGCTGCGCAGACCTCTGCACACAGCTTGTCAGGAGGGAACAGGCGGTTGTGAACTCACTTCCGGTTTTAGCCAACAAAGTTGTCACTGTCAGTATTATCTCTGCTCTTCTTGCTAAAGAAGGAAGCTCAAGGCCTCGATCCTAAGCCCCACACTGGCTCCAAGGACAATGGGGTTCCTTTTCAGAGTGAGAGGTACTCTTTCTCAGCCCAAGGAACTGCTGGGCAAAAGGGAGGTCACAGCAACTAATGCAAGCTTGGAAGCCAGCGTCCTGGGCACAGATGCCCCTCCTGACTCTTCCGGCCTGAGACGCTGCCAAATGCCATCCACGTGTCCATGACCCGGGCTTGTCCATGGAAAGTGCCTCAGATAACATTTGTGTCATTGGGAACACTGTTTGTCTGATGGCTGTTAAAGGGCCAATGAGCACGTGGGGGTGGGGGGGTGGGAGCTCAGAGAAAAGGCAAACGGGAGGTTCCCTCATGGCACAGCACTGGGTGACCGAACAGGGCCGCTATTCTATTCGGCAACAGAGCCCGGCTCTGAGCCCTAAGCGTGGCACTCGGGAGGCCCTTGGCTCTGCGGAGCCCCACACTCCCCTGCCGGCCACCTCGGGAACACGTTAACCCCTCGGTGCCTGGCCACCAGGGCACAGACACACGCAGGGCACAAGCTCACTTAAAGGGACGGCTCTAACCAGCATTCCACCCCGGGCAAGATCCCTGGGAGTCTCGTCCCCTTCCGGCAGTGGGTGGGAGGGGTGCTGTGAGGTGCAGCAGGGCCTCCACAAAGTGGGAGAAAATGCCACCAGCCTGCTGTGTGACTTGGGGTAACTTTCCTTCTGCAAGGCCTTTGTTTGCCCTTCTATAAAATGAAGGGGACGGGGCGTCAAATCGACAGCAGGAGTAGCCCCACTGCCCACTTCCACAGCCGTGGCAGACATCAGTAATGGATTGTGCCCCCTTTAGGAGTCTGAACACACACTCCTGTGAGCCCGCAGCAGCTACCTGGACACGGCCCTCCAGATAAAATCTATTTGCCATCTCGTGATTACATGAATTCAAAAGGTTCAATTCTAACACTGATTTTTTGTTCTGTTGTTAAATGCTTTTCTTTCCTGGTGCTGCAGACAACCCACATCCCTCTGAGCCTGACCCTTGGCAGAAACGACATCCGTGAGGAAGGTCGGGCTGGGTGGACGCGGGACGAGCGGCCACCACGGCCAGCAGGGCACGCGCTGGGCCTGTCTGGTGAGGGCTCCCCGTGGTGGGTCCACCTCGAACTCATCACTGCGGCTGTTGCACCTTTTCACAAGGATGTGCCCAAAGCAGGTAACTCAGAAATTTCACAAGATACCCCAAGTTCCTGAATTCTAGGGAGGCAGTACTGGGAGGAGCTCCAGGGATGGGACACGCCTGCCCAGTCCTCAGATGAGAAAACCGAGGCCCCGTTAGATCTCTGTCTTCTGACACTACATCCAGGGCCAAGTTTCTCCTCCATCCCATTTTTCCCCTCTGTATCACACTGGCTTATTTCTTAAACTTGGGGGAGGGGGGGAAGCAGAAATATTACCACTCTTTCCCCTTGAAGAGGTTATTTTATGCTATTACTACTAGTACTAGTACTAACAATTTACTAATGAGCACATTTACTAAACATAGTGTTGAGTGCTTTATATATGTTATGTTTACTGAATCCTCACAAAGCCCAGTGAATCTGCCGTAGTAAAAACTGAGGCACAGAGAGGTCAAGAAACTTGCCCAAGGTACAAGAGCATAAGTCACGGAGCCTGGATTCACTCTCAGTCCAAGGAGTAGAGTTCCTTCTCCTCACACAACAATGTTCCCTCCCTCTGCTCTCTGGATTCCCACACCCCACAGGTGGCCAGGACGCGGAGCATGCCTCATTTAGCAGAAGAGGACATGAAGGCACAGTGAGGCCAGGGACCCTGCTGCTGTGCACCAGCTGAGCTGGCTGCCAGCATGCTGGCTGGCGAAGGGCCAAGGGCCCCCAGGGCCTCCCACTGTGCAGGCAGCTGGCTCAGGGAGGGGTGCCCACATTTCCCTAGCATGGCTGCTCCAGACTTTCCCCGCCGAGTCCAGCCTGCCAGCTCCACCCCAAGATTCAAATTCCACTACCCTACTGCACCTTTCCTGGTAAAGGGCATACGGGGTCCAATGAGTCTTTAAAAAAAATGCCCACCTCCCAACATGAGCTGGGATGCCTTCCCCTTAGTTAAGTAACACATCTAGTGGCTAAAAGTCCTTGGCCGTGGGGAGTGAATACTGATAGACAGAGGCCGGATACAAGCCCCTGGAAGAGTCTTTTCTCACAGGGCACTGGGCGAAGTCACTCACACTCTCCCCCAAATATTTCTGGTTCATTTCCCTTCTGTCACAGGCTAACATGGCATTTCCCAGCCTCCTTGAGGCAGGGTGGGCCATGTGACTAGTTTTGGCCAATGATTGCACGGAACGAGCACCTCTCACTTCTGGGCCACAGCAGGTTGTTTGCCAGTGTGAATCCTTCCAGAGCTTTCCTCCCTTGGTCACGCGGTGGCACCATTCCATACAATGGCTGCTTTCACCTGGGTCCAGAGCAGAGTGGAGCTCCTGAAGGGCCCACAAGGGACATGCAGTGTGACTAAGAAATAAACTTTGGTGGTTTCCAGCTACCACAATCCCTTTGTATTTTTAGGGTCTTTGTTACTGTGGCATAACCTAGCCCCACTGGGACAGTTAGAGCACCAATGTCAACACTGCTTCCTAGAAGTCGGTGCCTTGCTAGGTATTGTGGGGTGGGAGCCGAGAGCAGAGGGACATGGGTCCGACAGGTCCCGCAGCTCCAGGCTCCAGGAGCTCCCAACCTCATGGCAGAGGCAAGCGTGGACAGAGCACCTCTAATCTAAAGCAGATAATGCAAAGTGCCCAAGTGAGAGACGGTTCAAACAGACCACTTCTGACCAGAAGAGATCAAGGAAGACCTCTGGGAGGAGGTGGCAATGAAGTTGGCCTTGAAGGCTGGGTTGGACTAGGGCATGCGGAAACGGCCAAAGGCATTCCAGGGAGAGGGAACAGTGAAGGCAAAGGGCAGGAAATGCTGCAGAAGAACAGACTGTGCTGGAATAAAAGGTCTGGGAAGATCAGAACGAAGAAATGAGGTTAAAAGGCTCAGATTACAGAGGTTCTTCATTCTGTGTCTAGGGGCCTTAACCCTAGACACAGTGGGGGAATCCCAAGTTTATAATCAGGGCATGACACGTTCAGTGTCCTGTTTCGGCCAAGGCCCCTGGCAACCAGAAGGGAGCAGGTGAGGGCAGGAAGGCACAAAGGCGTGGTGGTTAGTGGGACGCCCCCATGACCCAGGTGGGGCTGATGGTGGCCAAACCCAGCGAAAGAACAAGTAGCAGAGGGATCTCGAGGCTGATTCCCAGAGGTGGGAATGGAAGCGCAGCAGGACTTGAGTCTACACTTGGGGAAACAGATGGAGGGGAACTCCCCCGTTGGTCCCTGCGTACCACATGTGGGGCGCGAGCCTCAGCGTCAGCACTGAGTTAGAGCTGGCCCAGGAAAGACAGGCAGGGAAGGGCGATGGTGGCACTTCTAAGAACACACTTAACATGGAACACGAGTCGGCAGGCACTGGGACCCAGACTAGGCGAGGCCTCGATGCCAGGCTGAGGCACATGGACTTGACCTTACAGTCCAGGGTTTGCAAACGTCAGGCCCGTGGAGTGACTCCGCCCCCCAGGCATGCTTGGTTTGGCGTATTTCAAAAGCCGAATTAGTTGCCAACATTTGGAGCCAAAAGAATTCACGTGAAAATTCTCATTTCTGGCATGTGGTATGTCCAGAGAGCTGGCCACACGGCTTCCAGTCACTAGTTACAGTCAGCCGCAGCTGAGGAGAGACCCCCGCTGCATGCCAGGCGCGGGCGCTCCAGCTGGACACGATCCCCACCACCTGCCAGTCTGGCTCGTCGCTCCTACGCTAAATAAACATATCTGCCGGGCCTCGGTGAGCCTGGCAGGAGTGCAGGCAGCCCCTGAGGGGGATCCCCGGGCTCATGCTGGAAAGTGAGGAGAGAGACGATTCCTAAGAAGCGCATGGCCACAGAGCTCCTCGGAGCCTGGCTCAGATCAGAAGACAAGGGGAAGGCACAGTCTGTCTCCAATTAGACCCTGAATCAGCATCTGCTCTGAGCTGGACCTGCGCTGGGGGATGTCCCCAGGAGTCTCCAGTCAGGCAGAGGAGGAAGACATACAGACAGGCTAGCAGGACACCAGGCTATACGGGCTGTGCTAGGCCCGCCTGGGGCACGGGAGCTGCACAGCACGAGGGACTCACCAGTCTGCAGAGAGTTCTAGGCATTTGACTCAACAAAGTCTCAGAGGATAAGGAGGGTTTTGCCACATGAGGTGGAAAGAGAAGAGTTCCAGACCAGAGCTGTGCAGGCAAAGGTAAGTCTAAGGCGCCCCATTCTTGCCCCGAGGGTAGCAGAGGGCAGCCACAGAAGGCTCTCAGCCAGGGAGGGGCAGAGATCCCAGGCCTCTTCTCCCGGGCACTCTGGTTCCCGCCCTGACCCTCTCAGATGGGCACTCACTCACCGAGGGTCTGCTGGTTGCGGACGCCGCCGATCACCACGCAGATCTCGGCAGGCACGTCGCCCGTCCCATCCTTGCTGACGGCCTTCTTCTCCTCCTTGGCCTCGCCCTGCCAGATCACCTCCTGGATGTAGTCGTCGGGCACCTCCGTCTTCACCTTCACCTCCGTCATCGTCCCCTGCTCGGCGCTCAGCGAGCCCTCGGCCGGCACGGGCTCTGGCCCCTCCACCTTGGTGCTCTTCTGGCTGCGCTTCAAGCGCTCCCTGGAAGAGAGGAGAGTCTGCTCGGTCGGACGCCATACCCACCCGCAGACCCTACCTGGGAGCCCACCAGCCCAGGGGGCTGCAAAATCTTTAGCTACAGACCCCCTTCTCACATGAACCTCTCCTTGAAGCACATGGCCCGTGGCTGCCCTGGGGGGTTCTCCCTGGAAAGTCTGGGGCTCTGGCTCCCCCCATTTTACGGCTGGAGAAGCTGGGCCGAAGAGGTCCAACGTGCCCAGTAACTCCTGCCACTGGGGTTGGAAGAGCCCAAAAAGGGCAGCTCTGGCTGACTGAAATCACTTCTTGTGCATGTAAATCAGCTGAGAGTCTTGGTCAAATGCAGATTCAGATCCGGCAGGTCTGGGGTTTGGCCTGAGGTTCTACATTTCCAACGAGCGCCCGCTGAGGCTGGTGCTGCTGCTCCCTCCACCCGCCCATGGCGCGGGAGGGTTTAAGTGGTTTGACGTGTGGTTTAAGTGGCTGGTGCTGTTCCCTTCGCTCCCTGGCAGAAGGCCTGGGGATCTCATCCAGGCTCTTCGCAGCTCCAGTTTCACAGATGGGGAAACTGTAAGCCAAAAAGGCTAACTTGGTTGAGATGCCCTGGAGCCAACACTCAGCCTTCAACACGGTGGCCTCTAGGTGGCTCTTCAAACACCAGAAAACATCCTCAAGGTAATGGCTCCATGCTAAGGTGGGCAGGGCATGTGGACACTGAGGCCTGAGCAGAGCTGTGACTTGCCCAGGGCCACACACAGAGCTGTGACTTGTCCAGGGCAAGCCAAGGCATGCAGCCAGGTCCCCGTCATCAACTCCTCAACGTGCTGTTGTAAGGGCCCCTCAGCCCTCCGGCTGGGGACTGCCACCATCGCTCCTGTGTCTGAGGTGGGGAAGGCAAGGTGTGCACAACCTGGGAAATCAAGTCACACTCCAGCCCGGGGCGGTTGCCCTGGCCGTGCCCAGCCTCCCTCACCGCTCCAGAGAAGCGTCTGCACAGTTACCTTCAGGCCCAGACTCGAGGCATATGCTCGGGCGACTCACTGGCACACCGACTGGGAGGCAGGGGCCCAGGGTCTGATCCTGGATCCACAGCAGACTGGCTGTGTGACTTTAGACAAGGCCCTTTCCCTCTCTGGGCTCCAGCCCCATCTAGCACGACTGCATGGGTTTTATCAGGTCTGCTGTCCCTTCCAGCCCTCAGCCCTCTCCCGGGGTGGAGAAACTGAGCAGAGAGAGAGAGAGAGAGAGACAGGAAAGGCCACCAGGGAGGTGTTCTGGACTAAATTATGTCTTCAACCCCTCTGGCTTATCTGGTGAAGTCCCAATCCCCAATGGGACTGTCCCTGGAGAGAGGGTCTTCAGGAGGTAATCAAGGTTAAACAGGTCCTACGGGTGGGGCCCTAACCTGATAGGACTGTGGCCTTCGGGGAAGAGGAAGAGAGAGATCCTTCTCTGACTCCGTCCGCACCGTGTGAGGACTCAGAGAGGAGGCTGTCTGCAAGCTCAGAAGACGGCGGCACAAGAACCCGGGCCTGCTGGCACCCTGATCTCCGACGCCCAGCCTGCAGACCTGGAGCAAAGCACCCCATCCGTGGTATTTTGTAGGGCAGCCTGAGCTCACTGGTCCAGGAGGCCAGGACGCAGGCGAACGGGGCAAAAATGGAAAGGGAGGTGGACAGGACACCAGCCAGAGGCAGTGCCAGCGAGCCAGCCCCTCCCCTGCCCTGTGACTTGAGGCAGCTACCTATCCTGGGAGTTCCTGTGTTCACACCTGCAACATGGGGCTAACAGGGTTTGCACATGGATTTCAATCAACTGACGCCCGAAAGGCACTCAGCGCAGTGCCTGGCCTGTAACTGCTCTCCAGGCACAGCCGCCGTTGCTGCTACTAACAATGGAAACTGTTAGAACATCTTCGGCCCTGGTGGGCCCGGTGACGCCCCCTCCTCGTGTGCTCACCACATCAGGGCCGACCCCGTCTGACCGCATGCCCTTCTCCTCGGTGGGAAACATAAAACCAGGTGAGCCAATCACCTCAGCATTCATTGCTTTTACTTATTTGAGAAACACACCAAGAGAATTCCGTGTGTGCCAGGCACTGATCTAACACGCTGACTCCTCTCATCCTCTGGAACCGCCCTGAGAGGTAAGTCCTGGTGTGATCTCCATTTTACAGATGAGGAAACTGAGGCACAACGTGAAAGAACTTGTCCAAAGTCACATGGGTACGAAGAAGTGGGACCCAGACTAATGCAAGCATTCTGGCTCTCAGCTGCGACGTACCCAGCCCAGCAGAGCAGCTGTCAGAGGGAGGCCTGCCCACCTGCACGCCACGTCGCCCATTCTCGCCCTCCGGCGTCCAGAGCAGAGTTAGGACCAAGGCACTAACAGTGGGTTGTCCAGGAGGACAGAGGGCTCCTGGTTTTTCTGGCTGCTGTTGACTCTACAAGCCCTCGCCCACCGGAGGCTCCCTACTACGGTCCGGTGCCCCCCCTGGAAGAGGGTCATGTCTACCCCACCTCAGAAAAAAAGCCTTTGAGTTCAGAGAGGTCCCAGGGCATCACTGGGACCAACAGGTCTGAGAAGTGACACGGGACAGCTATGGCTTGATGGAGGGCGAACACCCCTGCCAGCGACAGCGACAGGAGGGGACAGGCTGGGGGCAGGGAGCTCCCTGGCACGGAGGGTGCCGGAGCGGAGGCTGGCCGACAGCCTGGTGGGGATGCGATGTGACGACCTGAGGGGGAAAGAGCGCCAGTGTTTGAAGTCAGATCATCCCAGGGCCAAATCTCAGCAGCACTGCCCTGCTGGAGTGGTGGGTTACTGCATCAGTGACCTCACACGCCCCCACCCCAGCCTCAGTCTTCACGCCCATACAATGGGTAGACACAGCACCTCCTCCTCAGTGCTGTGAGGCAGACGACAAGGCAATGTCTGCATGGGCCCTAGGATAGTGGCCCCAGGGGAAATGTACTATGGGTATCTGCTGTCTTGTAGGGGTGGGACAGGGGAGTGTGCCCAGGATGCAAGGGAAGGGGCTCACGTGGCACAGGCTCCAGCGCAGGGGCTGGGGAGGTGGGCTGGTGGGAGTTCAAACCCTAACTCTATCACTTCCTGGTTGGTGTCGCTGAGCGAGGCCCTGGCCCTCTCTGAGCCTGTTTCCGTATCCATGAAGTGGCGACCCCCACACCTCCTCAAAAGGCCCTGTGAGGATCACCTGCAAAAATGTAAACTTAACACCTTGTCTAAATCGACTCACACAGATGATCGTGCTGGTGGAAACTGGTGCAGAAGAGGCTGAAATTCCCATTCCCTAGGTGCGACCCCATGGGTGCTAAGGGTCAGCCAGTCCTGCCTGCTCTGAGGCTCACTAGGCACGGAGATGGACGGCAGGGTCCTGTCTGACCCTCAGTGCCAGTCTGGCCCTGAGGAACACAGCCCACAGGGCTGGAGTGGGTAGGGGTGCTGGGCAGGCCACTGAGGACTATCCGTGGCTTGGCCCTCACCGGTCCCGACCCTGGCTGCTCCAAGTACAGTGCTTCCCAGACCCAGCAAAGAAGCCCACCAGAGCAGGTATCCAACCTGCCCGTGGGGAAGGGAAGGGGAGGGGAGGCGAGGGGACAGTTTAGGCCCTCACCCAAACACCCTCAGCCCTTTCTCTACTGCCCGTGTTCTGAAGCTCAGCCCGAGTCCTGGGAGCACTTGATCACGCCACCAGAACAGACCTGGGGCCCCTTCCTGCTCTCAAGGCCTGCATTAGCACCCTGATGTCCTGGTCAGAGGGAGGAGCTACCAGAAGTCAGAAAGGCTGGGCACCCGCACACCCTGTGACCTCGGGCAGAAGACTCCCTTCTCTGAGCCTCGGTGTCCTTGTCTGTTCGAGGGAGAGCATGACCCTCACCGGGGCGGAAGCAGGCGATGAGCCAGAAGGCTGGCACAGAGTCGGTGTCCATGCTGGCAGCTGTCATGAAGAGGATGACATCCTCTACCTCCAGGGAGCCTGCCCTGCTCACTGGAGATGGAGCTGACTCCTCTCTGAACATCCCCTCTGCTTTGCACAGGAGACTCTTACTCTTTACACCGGCAGCCGCGTGAACCGTCCTCTCACCCTCAGGCACGATGGCACGCAACACACACTCCCTTAAAGGGGACGGACACCCCGGCACCCTCGCTGCGCTAGGCACACGCGCAACTTCTCTTCCCCAGCTTCCCGCTTTAGATTTACAAGCCCAAATGTTGCTTTTCTCAGATGCTGTGCATTTAATTAGGTGTCCTAATAACAGTGAAATTGCAGGAGTACTTATATCACTTTGAGTTAGTGGTGCAGCTCCTTCTAACTTCTGTAAAAAAAATTTTTTTTCATATATCATTTTTTAAAATAGAGCTCATTATTTTAATTATATCCATTTAAATGTACAGTGGAGCCCTTGGATATTCTCAGCACGAATCATTAGGTATATTAGGGAAAAGCACTTGGAATCTATCTACATGCTGACACTCCACAATCTATTCTATTTGTGTCTCTGTAAAACAGATTTATATATAGATAACTACAAAATAGTTGCTCAAGATATGCTATGAATTTTATATTTAACCCAAATCACACTTCAACATAAAATCTGAAGTCGGCACTAAAAGGATATTTCTCGGCAAGTACACAGCGTCTGTGGTGGCTGCCTACTACTCATGCCAGAACGCTGGGCCAGAAGCCAGACCAAGTGAGTCCTTGTCCAAGGAATTCCCCGAGAGCCCCCACCTTCCACTGACGCAGTGGTTCGCAAAGTGTGTCCCTTAAAGGCCTCGGGGCTCCACAGCAGTGGCCCCAGAGCACCCAGGAGGCCTGCATGAGGAGGGTGGTGCTGAGGAGGGCTCCAAGATCCCTACTCTGTCTTTGATATGCGCAGCTTGGCCTGATACATACATATTTGGGCTTTCTCCCTATAGTGGGGTACATGGTGCCCCCCACAATACATGCCCACGTCCTAGTTCCTAGAACCTGTGAA